TCAGTTTCACACCCCTTTTTTTGCTTTTGCCTTGTTTTAACTTGATCAATTGCCATTCATTCATGTAAGCTACTAAAATATTCAAGCAGGAGCGTAGCCAGAAATTTGAAGAGGAGGGGGGGGGGGGGGCAAAAAAATTTTTTTTATGGAAAATATAAGGGGGGGGGGGGGAGATTTTGGTGATTTTTTCATAAAAACCCTAGAAAAATAAAGAAATTTCTGTTTACGTTGGGGGTTTTGTCGCTGTTGCGCCTGTATTCAACCAACAAAGCTTGAAATCCTTTACCATAGACTTCAAACCTTCATTCTTCTTCGTCTACAGATCGGATTCCAAGATTTTAATTAATTTTCAAAAATTAAATGAAGACATTCAATGATAATCAGCACAAAACCTACAAAAATATTGAAATCTAAAGTAATTAATGAGATTCTCAAAAATCTTTCGAACTTTTTACTAAACTTTTTTTAACAAAGCCTTTAAGTTTCATTCATTAAAACAAATTCCTATCGTGGATAAAACTGAAAACTTTTCTAGCTTCTTCTGTTCTTGTAAATTAAACCTCCAAGCATAATTTCGTTGTGAAATTCAATATATTTTCCACTTCTTTCATGTCCCTCAACTTTAAAAACCACTGAAAAATCACGAATCCATTTAAAAAACATCACGAACAGTAAGCCTCAAGATGTATCAAGAAGAAGGAAGTGAACCGTAAATGAGAAATTAAATATGAAAGGGGGTAAGGATGAATAAATCAGATCTAAAAGAAAATGTGTGATTTCATCGATCATAGCCTAAATGTGGCTGTTCATGTTCACATACTCAACATTCTCATTCTCAAAAATGTTCATACATGAATTTACATGTGTATAGCAATTGTGTTGAGCATCATGTGTGCAAAGAAATAAAGGAAACAAAGCATGAATGAATGAATAAATCCTAAAAATCAATATTGAAGGCAGTCGAGTTGTGAATGAGTGAGGAGGTCGAAACCCCATCAACTGAAAAATTTCATCTTCAATATTAGAAATTTCAAGTAAAAACTCAGCCCCTGCCTATCCTTCCTACACCTCTGAGTGAAAGTATATTACAATATTATTATTATTAGCTAAGCACAGCCGTAACATAATAAATTACACATTTCCCGCCATTCAGTCAGCTAGTCAAGCAAAAAAGGGAAGCTTTCGTTTCTTATTTCGCGTAGATAAATTGGATTTTCAGAAAGCTTTCGTGCTGTGCGGCAAATGTGGTATTTTAGCAGCAGATCTACTGCTGATAGAGTACTCACTTTACATTAAAGCAGCGGTTGTGTGAGACGTAAAATAAATGAGCAGAAAATGAAGAAATGAAACAATATCAAAGGGGAAAATCGATAAATATTTAATGGATATCCATTATATAATGTAGAAAATTTTTCAATCCATTAGTGGTGCTGGAATCTTGAGTTTTATTTTTTTTTTTCGTGTGTCATGGAAATGGATTGTGAATAATTTGGCAGTTGATGGATTTATTGGTGAAAGTTTTGTGATGTGTGGATGAGAATGGATTAATGTATTTTGGATTAAAAGGGGACATTCATAAATGACTTTTCTTCTTCAGATATCAGGGGTTTGAGAGTAAACAGGTGGAGCTTATAAAGGCTTTTAGCATCTAAAGAACCTCAAATTAGTTTATTCCCAACGTGTCTAACCATCCAAATCTCACAACTTACCAAACTACTAGCTTCAACTTAGTCTTAACAAGTCTCAAGAACATTTTCATTCAGTTCCACATCTTTATGATATCAAAGACAAAAACAAGCAATTTTTTGTCCCATTACCTGAATTGCTACTCTTTATTTTCATCATCAAATGGCAACAGAAAGTTCACGAATGAGATGTTATAAAGTCAAGCAGCAAACAACAACAACAACAATGACTGTATTTTTTTACTCAATCTCATCAATTGATGCTTTTTTTTGTATTTTCTAACAATATCATCGTCATCATTCCTTGTTTTTCAACTTCCCCATGTTATTCATATATTTTTTAAAAATGAAGGCAGTTAGACAACAAAAAGCATAAACAACAAACATGACTTATGCAAATTACATTCTAACTCCTACCGACAATTTTCCTGTTATAAAATTTATGAATTGATGTTGTTTTTAACTCTCGTAGCAGTTAAATGCTGAATGAAGGGAGAGAACATAAATATTTCAGGGGGTCGTTCATAAATGATGTCTTACTTTTGGGGTGTGTCGATGTGATACACTTTTACTCAAAAAAATAAGGACGAGTCCACTTAAAAATCCAACGTAATTTATGAACGACCCCCCCCCTAAGATCCCATGCTGATGTAAAGAACAAAGAATTTTACATAAATTATTATTTGGCCTACTTAACTTACTCTCGTTTATTGGAAATAAAAGTTTTGCTTCTGTTCTTCCTGCTTTGCATTTATTATTACATTATATTAATATTACATGCATGTAAGTTGAGAGAAAGGCAATAAATTATAATTGATTCATGTTCTATGCTGCCAATAAAGGGGAGAAATCAAGTTATCAAGTTTCAGAAATTATTTATTATAATTGAAGGATTAAATTACATTGGAACTCTTTTGTAAAGACTTATTCAAGATATATTTCAAATTCTATGGAATGAGCTTTGTTTAGTTACTAGGATATGCCAGAGGGCGAAGTCGACTCGAAATTTGTATGAAGTCGAGTGAACTCAAGTCGACTTTTCCATACAAAATCCGAGTCGACTTCGCCCTCTGGGATATGCGATGGGTTGGAAATGGAAAGGAGGAGAACTTGGCTTATAAATAAGAAAATATTCAAAGTTGACTTGACATTCCCCAGAAATTTTAATAAAATGGAATCCTAGGGTGATTTAAATTTATTGCGGGGGTTATATAAACATGATTTGGTGTATGTGCTGTATAAGCTTCAGTGCTGGTTTTGATTCTAATGAGCTATGGCGCTTTTACATGAAATTTGATGTTTTAAGTGATTCTACAACTCAAGCAAGTTAGGAGGCAAAAGCGGCACTGCGATCGATGATCTGTTGTACCATCCCAAGTCCCCTATGTTAGAATTCCGATGTCCTTAATAAAGCCAATAATATCCTGATAATGCTGCTTATTTATATACTCATCATTCAAATAGTCCTCATCAAAATGCTTGACACGTTGTCCTCGTAATGACCTACATTTACAAAGTATATGAATGATTGTTTCTTCATTCACATTACAAAACCTGCAAATTTTACTGTTAGACAAATCTCAAGACCAAAGCACTGCTCATGCTCATTATATACTGATTTTCATAAAATCTGACAAAATCCTCTCCAGGGACCTTCTTGACACGCATATAATCTGTAAAATTTCTTTAAATACAATCAATTAAAGAGTTAAGGCACACACAGAACACAAAACATGTGGGACGAGGAAAATTTTCTTCTCAAAATATCATAAAACACATAAAGTAAGTCCATAAAACTTCTAGTTTTATATTCCATCATCTTTGATTAATTGTAGAGATTAATAACAAATTTTGAGAAAAATTCAAAAATAGAAATTTTTTAAATGCGACCTTAAAATTTCTGACATGAAAATCATAAAAATCATTTATTAAATGCTATGCTAAGACTGGATCAAGTTTCATGTTTAGAATCATAAATTTTGATTTTCTTGTCGAGTTTATCATAAATATCTTTGGGAATTCTCTTAAGGGAGGAGCGTGTTGTCTGCGTTTTAGTCTGTGTATGTTATTCTCAAGGTTTTTTTGAAGAAGGAGATAAAATGAACATTAAAGAGTGATCAGAGTCGATGAGTATGTGGATGGCGGTATGATTGCAGATGGAAGAGCATTGTGGGATCTATAAAACTCTCCTTTGACTGGTTATTTGTTTGGTGTAAGATCTTGTTTGATTTGGTATTGAAAATAAGCTTATTATGTTTCAGAGACTAGTTTCTAGGGCTATCCGTTAAATCCTACTTAAGTCACAATGGGTTTTTATTAAAATTTAAAGGATGGGATCTTGAGAAACCGGTTCTTAGTATGAATAACAAAAGAAAATTTAAGAGTGGAGCAATTCGGATACTTACTTCGCTGGTCGTACAGATCAATTGTGATCCATAGTCTGCTTTAGATGTCACCTGAATCTAGCTTTATCGCTGGCTTCCGTTTGCCAATTTCCAATACTAAATGCAATACTGTCTCTGTCGAATTTTATGTTTCGAAGAGAATTTCGCCCTAAAGTGACTTGTGAATAGACTTGTGCTATTCGGGATTAATGCTGTGTTTAGAATGAGTCTCGAACCCATGACTTCTATATCAGTATCACTTAACTAAGTTCAAATGAATCAAAATCTGCACCAAACCGTCAATTATTCAGTTCAACATAACAATTACTTAAGAAAACCAGTTCCTCCTCGCATAAAATCAACAAAACTTTTTCGACTCTAATTAAAATTTATTATTCATTACATAAATTTTAAATAAATGTCCCAAAGTGCTTTTACTTCACATATAAAAATTATTCACATTTTAAATAATTCCTAGAAAATGTAAAATTATTCTAAAATCAACATAATTAAAAATTTCTGCATCATATATCATATGATATAGACATAAATTTCCATATCTACACTTGCTTCTCGCTTTTTGATTCATTGATTGAAATATCTTCAAACAGGAAAAATGAAATAAAAAATTGAATTGCAAATTTTATGTTTTGAATAAAAAATGAGAAAAGAAAACTTTTTCTGTGTCTGTCGGAACGAGACGCACGGGAGAGCAATTTAATGATCTAAAATCTAATATTTTTACTTATTTTCTTCTTTCTATTTACAGATGTGATTAAGATGAAGTAAAAAACACATGTACAACAAATAACAAATTACATAAGAAATAAGAGTTAAAAGAAAGATTTATGGATATATGCTGAGCTAGTCGGAAAAAACTACGAAAACTTATTTACAAATAAACAAGACAAAAAAAGTAAAATAAACAAAAAAAAAGATAGTTTTTTGTGCTTAGAACTGCTGCTTTTAGTGAAATTAGAATTTAGTGAATGTTTCAAATTTTCAAACTTAACAAGATGGATAACCTTAATGGACAAGCACTTACAAATGGCCAAGGTCATCTAAAAGGATCATTTTGTCATGACGAGCGCATAATGAAGAACGGAAGCAGCAGTAATTCGAGTGAGTTTATTGATTTTTCTTTTCATCTTCTTCTTATTTTTTTTTATATATAAATTGCCCTCAGCCACTTTAATGTTGATTTATTGATTGTAATCTTATACATTTCTCCTCCATTTACAATCCTGTCGATTTCGATTTCGATTTTTGTTTTTTCTCTACTCAATGAATAAATGGAAATTTCTATATCATTTAGTGTCAATTGCTTTTATGTGTTTTTCACACCACAAGCAAGGTGTAATTTTCTGTGGAAAATTGGTTAATACAACAAGTTTGTCTTGGGGGCAATTGATTGATTATTGCGCTACAAATGACTAGTTTTGGATTACTTGATGTGGATAATATGTTTAAAGGTTGGGGGAAGTAGGTAATGATATGTTAATGGCATCTTATGCTGTTTTTATTTGGAATTTCGAATCTTGTGCCTTTATTGATTCAATGATCTTATGTGTTCCAACGGAATATGTTGCATTTATAAGCATTTGCTGCATTTCAGTGGCATAGCCAAGTTTTGATTTCTAAAGACTTTATTTCTTAGCGCTTGAGACTAAGCACAAGAAATCATTAAAAGGAGAGGTTCCAATACATTTTCATACAAACTTCAATGCTGAGGAGGAGTCTGGATCCCTCTTTGACTATGCCAATACAAGATCAAGCTACTAACACCCTTTATCCTATATAATAACTGCATTCCGAAAAGCTTAGTGCCACAGACTGCATAATAATAATAATAATAATAATGTGTGAAGGGCCCAGCCTTTCAGCTAGAGGCACTAGCCAGTCACAGACTGCATAAATTAACATACAAAGTCAAGAGACAACAACAATCTTCCCACTAGCAATAAAAAAAATGCTTTCCATTCATCTCTAATTCAGTTATTTTAATTCACCATCCACTTCGTTATCAAAAAGCGCCCTAAAAGCTATTTAGATACGTCAATGAAAATGTTCTTGTTGCCATTACATAAGACCATCGTCACCGTGCCATCATCATCATCATCATTGTCGTTACAATAAACATTGTTAGGATATCCTTGGGCCTTTCCATAACCGCCACATAATCTCTCTGTCTCTCATACATTCGAATGATCAACGATAAAAAGTCGTGTGAAAAGGAGGGAATTAAGGCGAAAAAAATCGCATTGCGGATCACTTTATACGTCACAAAATAAACTCACAATTTTTGTGCTCCTGTAAATGCATATATGAAACAGGAAAAGAATGTTTACAAAGGCTTAAGAGGGAAAAAAACTAAAAGAATGAAAATGTTTATGAATGTAAACGTAGCGCGAAATAGCATTCGCGACGATTTCTACATACAGCAATTTACATGAAATATAAAAAACACGAATGAAAATTCTTTTCATGCGAGTAACACTTTGAATATTAAGTTGAAAAGAAATGAAATCAAAAAAAATTGTTTCTTCTCTTTGAATTTTCTTTTATAATTTTCTTCTCTGTCTGTCTCACTGCTCTTATGTTCGTAGTGCTAATGACGTTTATTAGGTTAATATGTCTCAGAGCAGGGAATGTGGAGTGGAGAATTTTGTGTTATAATTTGCATCTTTAGTTGGTTGTTCTACTTTAAATTTTGTTTTAGAATCTTATTGAGGTTAAAATGGAATTTAAAGACTTAACGGTTGAATAAATTTCAAATTTTTCAAACCCTACAATTTACGTTTTTTGACAAAACATTTGAACAGTTTTGAATATTTTCGTTCAACTTGCAAATTAGAATTAGCCAGGGGTGCGATACAGGCACCTGTGCACAGGTGAGAACCGTACAATTCCTTGATAATTTGTGAGGTTTTATTAGAATTCGTATGGTTTTGTTTGAAAACCTTATAAATTATCAAGGAATTGTATGGTTCTCACTTGCGCACAGATGCCTGTATCGCAACCCTAGAATTAGCAAAAAAAAAAGGTTAAGCTTGTTGCTTTGAACTTCAACTTTATTTGCCCTAAAAACATCAAAACAAGCAAGTTTTCATTTCCATTAAGTCATTCCAAACTACTGAATTAATTAATCTTAAAATCATAGCTGAAGATTGAAATTTCAAGAGACTGTTTACTTTATAAATCAGCTCCAATCCCTAGCGTCTTGAAAATACATCACATAAGTGCACATGCTAATTGAATCCCCGCCATAAAAGCGAGTTCTCACATTCTTCCAATAATTTTTCATATTTTTCTTTTCAAATGAGCATGAAAATGAGTTGAATAATATTTTTAGACGGAAATATCGCATTAAATTAAAGAATTTCCATTGCATGCAATGAAAAAATGAGCAAATTAATGTAATATAATCAAGTATTAAGCATAAAATAGCAACTGCAAAACGACTGAATTTTCATGATAATTGCAGAAGCGCGTAGTACCTGTGAATTTAAATTAAATTAAATTATCTTCATTTTCCCTCAATTTTATTATGTAAAAAAATATTTTTTCTCTCGACTTTTTTACGAATGAATTCATAACTTGGCACGGAATCAATTAACTTCAGACTCATACTCACAATTTCACTTCATTTCAATGCGATGTAAAATTTGCGGACGCATGAAAATAATGAATAAAGAAGAGGTGAAAGTGTCATGAGAAATTAATTCGCAGGCGATGCACAATATTTCTGTTTGGGTAAATAGCTTGAAAATTCTTTGTATACTTTGTCGTATGGCACTTGATTATAAATTATTATCAAATTTTGCTTCAAAAATTATCAGGTCCTTTTTTCAAGATGACCATAGTCTTAATTGTTGGTACATATCACTGTAAACATCCCTATAATTGCCATATGTGTATCCTAATGTAAAACAAGTCGGGTTCGATGGGAATCGAACCCACGACCTTAAAAGAGGCGATCTCTGACGACTCGATCAGAGATCCCTGCCACTCGGCTACCGAGGCTTCTTATCTCACTTCGACTTTCGGTCATACACATATAACCAGTTCAACGCGAGCCCTATGTTTAGGCCTATCTACTACAAATGTGTTTTGCGAGCCATATCCACAGTCACTAGTTCCAACACTTGAGTCTTGCCTTATTTTTTTGTGCATTTTTACTTCTATTCACTTTTCTGTCACTTCTTACCGATCTACTCAAATTTGCTTCCATTCCTACGACAGTTCTGCTAGTCGCGCCAAAATGTAGTTGAGACTCTAAGTTTAAATAAATTTGAATATAATAAATAGTTTTATTGGAATATACATTTTTATATACACTGAAATATCTATTTAAAAAGTGACCGTTATTTATCCGCTCAATGTAGCTTGACACCCTCGATCTTAACGAAGCTTTAGACTGTAGGGACAAAGGGTAGCTAAATAAAGAAAGCTGATGATCATCATTAATCGATCCAAACCCAAAGAAACTCAAAAACATCCACAATTCAAGCTTATAGCAAGCAAGCAAATAAAGCAAATAAAATCAACATCAACAAGTAGATTCGCATAAAAATCCAACGGCCGATTTCACAAAGGTGGATAATCCTTATCCGATTTTTCAGATAATCTTAGGATTAAATAATCCTGTAAGATAATCTTTTTTTTTTATTTCCTTGAAATAGCCCGAAAGAGCTGTTTTTTAGTATGAAAAAGATCGAATTTGGATAATCCAATTGCACTAAAAAAGATAATCCAAATCTTGGGATTATCTACCATGTGGATAATCCGAAATGTCAATCTTGGTGGGGGGTAGGTTTAACATGGGATTATCCTAGGATTATCTTCGGATAATCTAAGATTATTTTTCGTTAAATAATTTATTTCAAATAAATCTCTAAAAAATTATAATACATTTATTTTACATTTGAAAATTTTAACTTTGAAATTAATACTGACAACTTTTTGAAATAAAAAAGAATTTCATTCAATTTTGTAGAAACTACTTTATTAAATACAATTGTACATTACTAGAACTTAATCCGAGCTAGATGTATCTGATTCAATTCTACGAATATTAGAATTGATAGAACCACTGGTTCCTGCCAACGTTTCATCAATTTTTTGTATTTTTCTTTCTAAATACAAATTTTGAAGTTGCAAATTGCGCTTCCTCAAGAATAACAGCTCTGACTCATTATTGAATTTCCGCTTTAATCCGGGCCTAAGCAAAGGCTTGATTTCTTCTTCATCCTTCGAATTCTTTGTTGGTGATTGGATGAAAACTGGTGCCGAATCTGCAACGATTTCAGGTGAATCATCGTCCACTGGATTGTTTAAGCCCAAAATTTGTGAATCCCCGAATCCAAAAAGCTGCTCGTCTTCAACGGAAACAATTTTTGCTGAGCCACCGCCTGTTTGTTTTATCTCACGTGCATTATTTGACAGATTTGACTTCTGTTTAGCTTTCATATTTTTGAACTTTGTCATCAGTTGGGTTTTTGTTTTGATTCCACCAGTTTGTCCTGAATTGAAGTCTTTCGTGATTTGTACCCAATCCTGAAACATTCAAATATGATTTGAAATTTGTTTGAAATTGAAAAAATGTGTAATTACTTACATCTTTAGAAATTTGTCCCTTTTTATTGTTCTTGGTGATCTTCTTAATTGTTTCTGCCAAGTGATCTTTATCCTCACTACTAAACACCGCTTTTTTTTCCTTCTCTTCCGTCATTCTCATTTAATTAACAAAAATTCACAAAAAAGATTACACGGAAATATACACAAAACCGACAATTTACTTATTTTGTCAGATTGACAAAAAAAATTTAAATAAACAAAAAACGTTAATTATCAGTGAAAAATTATTGGTTATTTCAATTCAGTTTAGAAAATTGAAATTAAAAACAATCAAAATGAATATTATTTCCGGAATGGAAAGTGAGTTCGACACAGAATCTGAGCCTGATGATCAGCGTTTATTCAGAGAACGAGAAAATTACTTGGAAAGTCTCAACGATAGTGAATTTATTCGACGGTTTAGAGTAAGCAAAATAACTTTTCTCGAACTGTTAAATAAAATTAAGCCATCAATTGAACCACAAACTAAAAGGTAATCATAACTTATATTATATTCTTTATTTATTATTAATTATAAAATGTACCAAATCTTTTCAGATCTCATTCAATTTCAGCACAAAACAAGCTATTTGCAACTTTGAGGTTCTATGCAACTGGTACATTCTTCACGACAATTGGGGATTTTTGTGGAATTAGTGAAGCATCGGTTTCACGAATTGTAAAGGAAACCTCTTTGGAAATAGCCAAACTGAGACCTGACTATATTTACATGCCGAGAAATAGAGAAGAAATCAGATCTTCTTTTAGTGGATTTTATGATTCTTTTGGTTTTCCTACCATTATTGGGGCAATTGACTGTACACACATCAAAATATCTGGCCAAGGACCTGATGGTGAAATATACAGGAATCGAAAGCAATTTTTTTCAATTAATGCGCAAGTTATTGGATCTCATGACTTAAAGATCCAAAACGTAGTGGCAAGATGGCCTGGAAGTTCACATGATTCTTACATATTCAACAATTCTTTGATTAAGACAAAAATGGAAAGGGGTGAACATTATCCAGGTGTACTACTTGGTGATGGTGGTTATAAATTAGAGACTTATCTACTTACTCCTTTTCGAAATCCTGAAACGATACAACAGCAAGATTACAATCGTATTCATATACGAGCCAGGAATTGTATTGAGCGCCTTTTTGGAGTATGGAAAAGGCGATTTCCCTGCCTGGTTTTTGGACTAAGAACAAAGGTTGAAACTTCTCTAACTGTAATTGTCGCATGTGCAGTACTTCACAATATTTGCGTGTCTAATAGAGATGCTGTTCCTCATAACGATCCGGCATTATTGAGCATCATTGAAGAGGATTTCGATGAGTTGCCTGAGCGAAATCGAGAACCAAGCACAAACAGAAGAGCAGTTGCATTTAGAAACAGAATGGCTGAACGTATAAGTCAACAAGTTAATGAAATTTGATTTTTAAAAATTTGAATTAACATTTTTTTTAAAAAAATTATTACTGAATACATAATTTATGTATGAATATGTATAAAAAATATTAAAAAAAAAAACAATTTTAATACAATTTATAAAAAAAAATATTTTTTAATAATTGATAATCCTAGGATTATCTGCGGATTAGATAATCCAGCCTGATCCTGGATAATCTTTCTTAGTGAAATCGGATAAGATAATCCTGCGTTTTGGATAATCTTTTGGATTATCCTGAGATTATCTCGAGATAATCCCCAAAAATTGGGGTGGATAATCCGAAAATGAGGATTATCCACCTTTGTGAAATCGGCCGCAACATTTTATTACATTTCCGACCATAACTAGTTATCATTGCCAAAAGTCTGATTACAATAGAGCTCATCTCCTTTGATCTCATCCTCATAAACTTGATCATATTCATAAATTTCTTTGCCAAGTCTGACAATTTTTCAAAATCTAATTTATTATTCATCAATTCTGTTCCTCTTCTTCTGAGATTTCCATTTACAATTTTTTTTTGTGTGTGCCTTAAAATATATGAAATGAGGCATGAGTCATAATTATCAAAAATGTTTGTATTTAATACAGTCGCACGCGTCTGAATGCCCATCAGCTTCCATTTCTTTGAAGTTTAAATGCAGAAAACAAAAATTGATGGTTCCGATGATTTATGATTCAATGAATAACAGCTTTGTTTGATAAAAACACGCGAGAATTGAGAGAAAAAATCGATGAATCGTCCAACAACAATTTTCATTCTATTTGAGGATAGCTGACAGCTATTTATTCGGAAAAAAATTTGTAGGTTTGTGATCTTTAAACGTCAAGGCATTAAATTTTCGGTATTTATTGCAAAGAATATTGGCGAAAAGCGGACATTCATGATCGTTAAATCAACAAAAGCTGTGAAAAATTTTACGATGATATTTTTAACATTTTTACAATTGCAAGGATTTATTGATAGATTATAGGATATGGAAAAATTAATGATGAAATTTATAGCTGTAATATTGATAAACGGTTGTGGATTGAATGGAACTTTGGCTTTAATATTCACAATAAAATTTATAATGACTAGACTTTGACTATTTCTCACCTCCTGCCCAAAACAAGGGTTAGCATTCAACATGTCAATTTTCTAGAGCCCTTATCAACTTCCATTACATATAAAGCATTTAATTTCAATTATTTAACAATGTTTAATAAATATAACAAGCCAATTAATTAAACATCATTTGACACGTGACCCACGAGGCACTAGAGTTAATTTTAATGAAAATTTTGCTGTCACTTTAATTAATTATCAATTGCGTAATGTGAATAGGCAATAAACATGGTGAACATAAGCATTGAAAATTTCTTAAAGATGAATAATCAAATTATGATTGTAAGTTGAGTTTTATGGTTCATGTTGACTGATTTGAAAAAGAAAGTTTTAATAAATTTTCATTGAAAATACGGACATTTAGTGATGAATCTTAACTTCTGTGGTGGCTTATAGGTTTGGTTCATGGGACAAGTATAGCCAGAAAAAGATCTCCAACTCCTATGCTTCGTTCCATCCAATTCTATTATAATCACATAGTAGGATTCTTGTACCCCCCCCCCCCTTCCCACCCCACTCAATCATCTTCAAACAAAGGCGTAGCTAGGAACAATTTGTTCTCTGAATAATAAATTTTCTTTACAAAATTTTCTTAAGTTTTTCCGGAACTCCAATTTATAATTTACATTAATGTATTATTAAAAAAAACATTTACCTATTCAGATGAATTATGATTCAGAGGTACGCTAGGGCGTTTTGCAGCTAATGAGAGTTTAACGAGTGTGGATGCGCCAAACCACTGCACTAAAACCTAGACCTACAATTTAAAGTGGAATCCGAACCACTTCTTTGCTGACATTTCTGCCTGTAGCCTACAAAGGAAGGCTGTGAGCCTCATTTCCAGTACATATGATTCGAAAAAGGACAAGTGAAAAATTTCCTATACCCAGTCTCAAACCCATAATCGCTGTGTCGGTAGTGCAATAATTAGGTACCAAAATACTAAACCATTCCTCCATCGAGCCACTTCAGCTCACATGTATCATTAGAATCAACAAAAAGCAACTTAGGCAACGAAAAAAAATTTTTTAAACTCCATAGAATTTTTTCTGGCTACGCCTCTGTCTTCAAAGAATATTAAAACAATTTCTTCACCATCTGACAATCCACAAACAACATGTCTCTATACAAATAAATTCCAATTTAATTAAATCATTCAACCACGACTTATTTCTTTATAATATGGACATTCAAGCTTAGATATTATTAATAGTTGACTTTTCATTTTTATTTTATTTTTCTGTATTTCAATTCTCCCTTCAATATCGTCCCTCTCGACCATAAACAATATCGCGCGATGACGAAAAAAATAAAAATTATCCGTGCTTTGTTTGCGATAAACAAACCGGAATTTATTTCTCTATTTTTTCCGCTTTCCATTTTTTTTTATACTCAAACTGCTGCTGATGTCGTTTTCATTCTTATCATATTGACGTTTCCTCTACCACTGTTTTGCCTGCTCATCCATTCTTGCCAGCCACTGTCTGTTGTCATGCTTTTTTTATTCAACTTCCTTTCTCGCTTATTTTTTCCTCGTTTAACATTATTTACTCATTACTGTTGAGCCTGCACACTTGAAAATGTTGGATTTAAATGCTTTTTGATTGAAGATTGTGGGGGATTGTTTGCTGATGATGTCATGGAGTTGCTGGGGTTCATTTGATGTCTTATAGTTTTAGGCAGGGTTGCGATACAGGCACGTGTGCACAGATGAGAACTGTACAATTCCTTGATAATTTGTAAGGTTTTTCAAACAAAACCATACAAATTCTAATAGAACCTCAAGCAATTGTACGGTTCTCACCTCTGCAGAGGTGTTGCAACCCTGGTTCTAGGTTATGAATGTCAATTATAGATAGAAGACGTAGTTTTGGGAAAGGAAGACCTGAGTAAACAGAGCTGCTTCGCTCTTTAGAACAAACGAGAACTGCCATCAATTATAAACAACTCCCCACAAACAGAACAAATGGAATTGAGGGAAGGAAGCTGGAAAAAAATGGCAGAATATTTCAGATAAGAATTGAAATTGATGGCATATTTCAGCACCCACAGATTCGTGTTTAAACTTTTTATCCCATTCTACATCTTCATATCTCATTTCTACGTCATCATTATCCACAATCACTCTCATTGTTTTCCTAGCTAGCAAACACTATTCCGATGAGACATACAGACAATGTTTGGAGTGGAAATAACAGTAATAAAAACATTTTTCTATCTCAGACATTTTATGACTTTTTTTTTCTTCTCGTCTTGTCTTTTGTGATTCTCATAAAGTTCGACGATGTTTATTTTGAATATGTCGCACTAAAAGTGTTTGATAATAAAAATGAAAGAGTAATGCACTGTCACTTGTGTGATTTTACGCTATTCTTTTATCTCACATATTTTGCGAGACTTTTTCTGTGTTTTTTGCTTCATGTGGTTTGACTGCTTGGGATGTGAGGTTGATCAAAATGTTCAGCAGATTGTCTTTGTTACTAATAGCTTCTTGGAAGAGATCCTCTTGAGAATTATTCGGTTAAAACTCTTTTATTATTTAAGACATGATGACTTATTAAAAATTAAAAAGGAAGGTTCAATAATCCGATTTTCGAAGAATGTCATTAGCAGTTCCAAATTCTATTTTAATCAAAAACTAAGCTTCCATTCAAGAGAATTGAGACGAATTTTCATCGCCCCGTT